AGCCCTGATGGAATTTAAATAAAAGTTTCAGCCTAGTCTGTTTATTGCTTTTCTTCATAGCTGTAGCTGATTAACTTTCCTTATTTTCTCCTGCCACCAGCTGGTTTTTGTAATTGTATTTAGGGTATCTCCAAATTTTTGTTTTAGCAAAGGAAAATTACAATGAAAGCAACGTTGAAAAAGGTTTTCAAAAGAGAATGAGAAGGCCCTCATGGTAGCAAGACTCACACACAGTTTCAGTTTTGGTCTCCTTTATGCTTGAATCTTGGGCATGTGGAATAGACAGCTACATTGTGCCTAGTTACTCAGGCTATGTATTGAGAGGTTATTGGACTTTCGTTTGATGGACAGCTACATTCTTGTATTCTTTTAGACACATATTCTGATCCTTTTCAACATTCAATAGCTCACAGAAACTCCCATTATTTTCTTTTTTCCTTGGAACACCCAGTCCATGTGTTTTGAATTATAGCTGCTAAGAATCTCCCCAAATCCTTTTCTTTTACAGTATATTAGTTACTTTCCTTGTGGGCTGTGACAAAATACCTGCCAAAAGCAGTTTAAGGAAAGGGAAATAATTTGGCTAACAGTTTGAAGGGATACAGGCCCTCTGGTGTGGAAGGTGTGGTGACAAGAGATGCTCTTAGTTGTGACAGTAGGATTATGAGGTATCTGGTCAGACTGTGCTTCAGCAATGAAGAAGAGAGAGTTCAATGCTGATGCTCAGCTGGCTTCCTCCTTTTTCCCTCTTTATTCAGCTTGGCACCCCAGTCCATGGGATGTGCATCCACATTCAGAGTGGAGCTTCTCTCCTCAGTTAAACTGCCCTAAAAACATCCTACAGACATGGCCAGAAGTGTGTCTCCTAGGTGACTCCAAATCCAGTCAGTTGACAATGAAGATTAACTATCACTTGAAGTTTCTAAGGATTTTTAAAAAATTTTATGGAGCTTTAGCAATTTATACAACAGTTCTTAAATTTAGGTCCCCTCCCCCATCCATGTGTATTCTGCCATACACATTAAGTCCTATCCAGTCAAGCATTTGTACCCAGATATCCTTCAGTATAAATGCGTCCATTGGAATCTAGTCATGCCATCTAGAGATCGTATGTAAGGCATATTCTCCCTCATCCAGCATCAATCAGTTTCCAGTAGTTCTCAGTCTAGGGCCCGCCTGTCACCCATTTCTCTCCTCCCCTCTGGGACCTTGTTTAATTGAATTGGCATGGGTCCTGTCCTCAATGCCACCATTGTCACAAGTTCACTGTGCAAGTGTCCAATGACCTAAAAGCCTCTGCTTCCCTGTGTTCATGAACCAGCCCTCTTATAATCTTTCTGCTCCCTCTTCCACAATGGTTCCTGATCCATGGGTGGGTGAGGTTCAATACAGGAGCCCCATCCAAGGATACACACTCTGCAGTCTCTTATTCTTTAAAACTTGGCCAGTCATGGCTTTCTATGTGCATCGTACTCTGTTGTATAGGGAAGCTTTACTGGTGAGAGTTGAGGACTGTATTAGTTTTCTTTCTACCCTTTGTTCTGCTATGTTCCATGAGCCTTAGATGTAGAGGTTCAACTGTAGTTGTGTCACCTAGTACTTGGCATTTCTCAGACATATATTCTCTGTGTCTAAGCAGTTATGGAATTCTGCAGTAGCCTCCATCTGTTGTAAAAAGGAGCTTCTTTGATGAATGGTGTATGGTATGCTTGTCTGTAAATATAAGGATCCATATTTAGCATATGGTAAGAAATTTCTTTTGTCCAGAGATATGAGAGGTAGAGTTTTCTCTAGGATGTATGTTCTCTCCTGTCATGTGTATTTGGCTGAGTTTACAGTGCCACTCATGAGTTCACTCCTATTGAGAGGGCTTTAAGTCCAATTAGATAGCTGTTGATTGCCCCCCAGAAAACAATGCCACTACTGCACCAATAGAGGTAGTTTGCCCTGCCAGTTGTTTATTAGGGTTTAGGGCTGGGTTGGACCATCGATTGTTTTTCTCCCTTGACAGTTTGCATTTTATCATCTAAGATAATGATAGCTAAACTGCACATAGAAGGCCTCCAGGTCAGTTCCCACTCCATTGCTCTAAGACTTGTATCCAAAGCATGTCCTATCTTTAGCAGTAGGGTCTTATCTACTAGTTCTGGGAGATAATCAAGAGGTTTGGCAATAGCCTGTGTTATTTTGGGAGTCTCCTGGACCACTCTCACCAACCATTCAAAGGGAGGTCTCTTCTGTCTGGCACTGCGTTCCAAGCAGTTCCCAGGTGTGCACATGCTCTAGTGTTTAGACACTGTATGGACATTTCTCACAGGGTTTTGGGGGCATCACATTTCCCTCTGTGTCTCCTAGGCCCCCAAGATTCATTCATTTCTACTCTTGTTCCTCCTATCCAGCCTCCCTCCCCAGTCCCAGCACTCCCGTTATCCCCATCCTTCCCCCAATAACTCACGCCTCCCACCATCCCCCTCTCCTGATAGTTTCTAACTATTAATTGATCAGCCATAGAAATGGATAACCTCTATTGCCTTCTAGATAGTAAAGATATTTGAATTTGTTGTCAAAACTTTCCTACAAAGAATACTTAAGGCCCAGATGTCTTCACTCATGATTTCTAACAAATTTATAGAACAAATAATACTAATTCTACACAGTCTTCCAAAAATAAGAAAGGAAGGAATACTTTCCAAGTTGGCATCCAGATGAAGATGTTATACAAAATGAAACTTAGAGATCAATATCCCTCAAAAAAATTGTAACCAGCTTTTATGGTGTATACAAGGGGTATATTTGAGATCCAAGTAATAATTGTAATCTATTTTAACATTAACAGATTAAAAAAATAAAAAGTGTCATTCCAATAAAGGAAGAAAAAGTATTTGATAAAAAAATCTATTGTTACAACTCTTACTAAGCATAGTGTGGAAAGTTCTAGACAGTGCAATACAGCAGCAACAATAAAAAGATCATACAGATCAAAAGCACAATTGTCCCTATTTTAAAATGACATATTTTATATATAGTTCTTATAGGGAATTGTAAACTAAGCATTGAACCAAGGGCCTCACACACGTTAAGCATGCATTCTACCACTGAGTCACAGTTTGAGCACCATGAATCTATCTTAAACAAATTATTATAAGTAGTAAGTTCAGCAAGGTTGCAAAGTCAGTATACAAAATTCACTCGTATTTCTACATATTAACAATGAATAATAAGAAATTTGATTGTTTAGGGGTTTTGTTGTTTGTTTGTTTTTTATTTGAAACAGGATCTCACATTGTAGCCCAGACTAGTCTTGAGCTCAATTGTGTAAGCCCAGGATGGCCTAGAACCCACATCAGCTCCCTAAATGCTGAGATTGCAGGCATATGCCACCACATCCAGCTAGAATTTTATTTTTTAAATGCCAACTGTGAGAAACAATGGTCATCACTTCATAATAAGAATACTCTCATTTCATGATGAGACCACTGAAGAGTGGTAAAATTGAGGCTATTAATTTTACCACCTTGCATCAGCTTTCTGGGTGTAGTTTTATAAACCTTTGAACACATGGCCCTTCCTCCCTTTTTTGAATAATCTTACATGTCACCTAGGTCTTATCCTTTTATTGCTTACATTTGTATTTTTCTCAACAAAAACTGTGCATTTTTATCTCTACATTTTACATCCTGTTTGTTTTAAAGCATATCAGACATGTGACCTTGCAGGCCAGCTTAACTGTTAGTAATTTTCTCCTCTAAACTAGTTTGGAGGTAGCTTAGCAGAGTTTGGGCGGGGAGGGATATCGAGGCTAGCAGGCATTAGCAGGATCCAGTGTTTTCTGTTCATTTGCATTTGGACCTAAGCTGGCTTAAGGCATCTTTGAAAAGGAACCATTAGATTTTATTTCTAATATCAACAACTGACATTTGTCTAGATGTCATGAATGCACTATGTCAGAAACATAGATGAATACATTTGTATCTTTCCACAATGTCAAAATTTATTGGATAAGAATAAATTCACAGGTGTGGTAATTTTGTTTATAGCAATTTTCCAAGAAGTTCCTCTTTCTTTGATAGCCTGTCTAAGCAAATACAGGCTTTTTTTTCTAATCTTTTGTAAAAGATTATTTTTATTTTATGTGTATGAGTATATTGCCTGCATGTATGTGAGTGCACCCAGGTTGTGCAATGCCACAGAGGTCAGAAGAGGGCTTCAGATTCCCCTGGAACTGGAGTTAAGGATGGTTTGTAGCCACTATGTGATTGCTGGGAATCGAACCCGGGTCCTCTGCAAGAGCAGTCAGTGCTCTTAACCACTGAGCCACCTCTCCAGCCCTTTTTTTTCTAATCTTAACTCTCAGATTACATGTTAATATCATACAGTAAACCTCTCTCTCACTCTCTTTCTATCATTTAATATCAACAACTGACATTTGTCTAGATGTCATGAATGCACTATGTCAGAAACATAGATGAATACATTTGTGTCTTTCCACAATGTCAAAATTTATTGGATAAGAATAAATTCACAGGTTACAGAATGGCTATGAAGAGTTAAGTGGCTGCCCCAGAATTCAAGTAATTTCAAAGAAGCCTGTGAGGCTCAAACCAGGAAACTGAGATGGATACAGAGTCTCATCAGAAATTAGAGAGTGAACCCAGGCTGGAGGTCTGCTGGAGACACTGCCGTAGAACCAGGCTGCTAGCTCAGAGTTGAGCTGCAGAAGCAAAGCATGGGCCCATGGATACCGTAGAAGCAAAGGCCAGAGCAGGTCTAGATGAAGAAATAGGCATATAGGCAGAGAGATGGATGGCAAGTCCTGATGGATGAATGGGCAGAGGACAGATGGTGATTCGAGTAGTCTGCATCAATAGCAGGACTGGGCTGAGCTGAAACCTCTGGAACAGCCAATTCTGTGCTTGTAGGTCCCTTGACATACACACTGCATAGTCAGATGATAGGTTATTGGGGCCATTGTCATTGTAGTGTTAGATGTCCTCCCTTTTATGGGGACCAGGTAAGAGAGTTACACCCTTTTCTCAGTCTGATAGGGTCTGGGACCTGCTTTTCCTGATATGATTTTCATAAATCATGTGCTCCTATGAACCCAATTTACTTTGACAAATTTATTGGGTGACACTTTTTCTACTTTTATGAATAAGTCATTTATTAGTGGGTGATGCTTGTGGGTGGTGCTGGAAAGATGGTATTTAGGTATCCATCAAGGTGCAGCTCATCCTACTTCTGCATTTGCACTCAAATGAAATTAAGTGACCTTTATAAAATGGAGTCTCTCAGGGCAAGGCACAGCCTGAAAGACCACTGTTTTACACAATATGGAGCAACTGAGGGCCATACCAAGTATTGTTGAGGCTGGCTAGCAGTTGGAGTTTTTATATCATAGTGGGATTGTAAAATCCTTCAGTCACTGTGATGATTAATTTTATACATCAACATGGCTGGCCTAAAGGATGCCCAGAGAGCTGGTAAAATGTTATTTCTGGCTATGCCTGTGAGGGTGGAAGAAATTAGCGTTTGAATTGGTAGATTGGGTAAAGATCTCATTAATACCCTTTCTATTCAGGACCTGATTGGAACAAGAGGCAAAGGGAGGGGGAACCTGATCTTTCTTTTTGAGGTGGGACACATCAGTAATCTCTGCCCTACAATGTTAGCACTCTTGCTTCTCAGGTTTTCAGATTCAGTTTGAGACTTAGCTCATAGACTTTCCTGATTGCTAGGCCTTTGCACTTGAAGTATACAATAAACTTCACTGGTTCTCCATCTTATGGGCAGCAGATGGTGGAACTTGTTGGTCAGCCTAAGCACAGGGGCCAATATCTAGAACAAGTCCCTCATACATTTGTATTAGTTCTGTGTTTTTCTGGAGAACTCTAATGCAATCTGGAAAAATGTTTAGCATTTTAAGTTAAAAAATAAAGCCAGGTGTGGTGACTCATGCCTGTATAGCTCTCAGGACACTGAGGTAGGAGGACGGCTGTGAATTTGAGGTGGGCCTGGCTGCTGCTTTGATACTCGTTCTGCATCTCCAGTCTCACCGGACCTCTCGGCCTGGGCCCCAACTGCTCCTGCTCCACTGGCAGGTTCTGCTTCTGTGCCAGCTCCTGTAACTACAAAGACTACAAATGCAACTTCTGCAGGAAGAGCTGCTGCTCCTGCTGCCCAGTTGGCTGCTCCAAGTGTGCCCAGGGCTGTGCTTGCAAAGGGGTATCTGACACATGTACCTGCTGTGCCTGATGTGACAGTGCTGCTCCCACATGTACATAGAGTGATGTATGCCAGCCTGGATTTGTCTTTCATACGTTTCCTTTTTTTTTTTTTTTTTTTTTTTTTTGAGACAGGGTCTCTCTGTAGCCCCAGCTGGCCTGGAACTTGCTATGTAGACCAGGCTGGACTTGAACTCATAGAGATTCACCTGACTCTGCCTCCTAGTGCCTTGCTATACATTCCTTTTTCTATGAAGTATGTGAATAATAAAAGTCAGTGACTTGAAAAAAAATTCAGAAAACAGTTACACTGAAGAAAATCACCCATAAAATGCTATATAAATCTAACCTTATACAAAGGTTCATAAAATATTGTATGAGCCATAGTGACATTAAATAAATTAGTTGTTGGGAGGAAGTAAGAATGAAGGGCTAGCAGGGGCTGGAGAGATGGCTCAGTGGTTAAGAGCACTGGTTGTTTTTCCAGAGGACTCAGGTTCAATTCCCAGTACCCGCATCTGTTAACAACCATCTGTAACTCCAGTTCCAAGGGATCCAGTGTCTTTTTCTGGCCTCCATAGACTTACCAAGACATGGGTGCATTTACATGCCAGCAAAACAGTCCTATACATAATTTTTTTTTTTTTTAAAAAAGCAAAGTTAACAGGGCATAAGTAAAATTTCAGGAGTGATTCATTTGTTTATCTTCTTGTGACAACAGTTGTGTGGGTGCATACTTTTGCCCAAATTCATCAAATTCTACTAGTTAAATATGTGTATTTTATGTATGTCTTTATATTTCAATACTGTGATCTTAAAGCCACAGAAAATGGGGCTGGGAAAATAGTTTGGTTTGTAAAGTTCTTGTCACACAAGCATGAGAATCTGAGTTTGATCTTCAGCATACACATAGAAAACTAAGTTTGTAACACATGTAATTCCAGTGCTGGGGAGTTGGAGATAGGAAGATCCCTGGGGTTCAGTGGCCAGACAGCCTAGCTTGATTGGTGAGCCACAGATCCCAGTGAGAGACCTCATTTCAAAAAAGAAAATGTAGCTGGCTCCCGAGGAACAGCATTTAGATTGACATCCGGCATGCACATGTACCTACACACACATGTGCACCCACATCTGCCCACATATACTGTTAACAGTAGCAAAAAAACCCCAAAACAAACACCACCACCAACAACAACAAAACAACTTTAAAACTGGTCAAAAGTATAATATTCTCTGACTTGGATGAAAACCCAACTCTCCGGTTTTTCCAGATTACCTGGCCATGGGACCACCCTTAGGAAGGCAGGTTCACCTTAAGTTATGCTAAAGATATGGGTGTAATACCTAGTGTGTTAATGAGATGGTGAACTTTTTCTGCCTGGAATTCCCACCCCTTAGTGCAGTTCTTGTGGACCTAGCTGTCACAGACATGGCCTCTCTGTAAGTTTGTCCGATTTTCTGAATTCTTCAGCAAAGTGTAATCTCTCCTTTTCTTCTTCTTATCTCTTTTCTAACCGTGCTTTCTCTAGTGCTTTAGATTGCCCCAACATTTTGGGTTTCTTTATCTTTTTCTCTAAAGCTCCCTTCCCCTCTCCACCATGTGGCTGCTAGTCCACCATGTAGTGTCTGTCTGACTTCTATGGCAGCTCTAAACCACATGGTTTTATGACTTTTTTCCTTCTTCCCTCCTTATCCTCCTCAAGGCCGCTGCTGAGATTTACTACTTGCCTTCCCTGAAGCTTTTTCCTTAAATGTTGATAAAATTGAACTAAAATTTCTGTTTGAGTCCATTCTTAAATTCTTTTATGAATAAGATTCAGAACCCTAGAAGGGGATGCTATTTCTTCCCTGTATCAACACCTTCCCCCAAACAAAAAGAATACATAAAGTGAAGAGGCAAGCCACAAATTGAAAAGTATTTGTAGCACATAAAATTAATAAAGAATTCATATTCAAAATATACAGATTTCTGGCCTGCTGAGATTGCTCAGTGGGCAAAGGAGCTTGCTGCTAAGCCTAAAGACCTAAGCTGAATCCCCAGGACATGGTATAAGGGGAGAACTGACTCCCACAAATTGTCCTCTGACCTCCACTCATGAGGAGTAGCACCTACATCACACATACACACACACAGTGTGCTGGATAGCTTTAGTGTCAACTTGACCCACCTGGGTTGAGGGAGCCTCAATTGGGGAATTGCCTTCATTGAACTGGCCTGTGGCCATGTCCATGGGGCACCTTCTTGATTGTTGAGTGATATGGGAGGGCCCAGCCCACTGTGGGTGATGCCATCCCTGGGCAGGTGGGCCTGTGTTCCATAAGAAAGCAGGCTGAGCAGGGGCCAGGGGAACAAGCCAGTAAGCAGCGTTCCTCCATGGCCTGTGCTCCATGCCCTGCCTCCAGGTTCCTGCCCCGAGTTCCTACCTTGGGCTCCGGGATGAACCTGGGATATGTAGGCTAAATAAACCTTTTCCTCCCCAAGTTGGTATTGGTCAGAGTGTTTTGTCACAGCAATGGAGAAACAAACTAGGACAGAAATTGGCACCAGAGAGTGGGATATTGCTGTGACAGACCTGACCTTGGTGTTTTGGGGAGGACTGTGGAAGCGTTTGGAACTTTGGGCTGGAAAAGCCATTGCGTGCTGAGTTTGTCGCTATGGACCTTGGAACAGTTATGCTGAAAGAGCTGTGAACAGTGGAGGCCTGTCAATGGAGGCCTGGCTTGTTAAACTTCAAAGGGAAGCAGAGACTATCAGGGCTGTTCCTGTGATGTTTTGAATTGAGAATCTGTGGGTTCTGGTCGGCTGGGGCTGAAGAATCAGCTGTGATTAAGAAGAGACCAGAACCTGAGGTAAGGCCTTTGCTTTGCTGGGACAATTGATGCTGGTTATCTGGGGCTGCAAGATCAGCTGTAAGTAACAAGAGACCAGCATCACTGTGGCGAAATCTTCTGGGAGGTATTTCCTCAGGGTCAGCACACAGAGGGAACCTGAACCTCCATCTCTAGCTGGAAGCAGGACTTGGTAATGTGTAAGAGTTTCCTGCATGGTTCTGGTGTTGAAAGTGTGAAGGGTCACAGAGAGCAGCTGAGGTTTGGTACTCTGAGAGGCCAGGAAAGGCCGTAGGTGAAAGTACAGCTTCAGTTGCACTGAAGACCCTAGGATTGAAGGAGTCATAGAGAGAATCTGAGGCTTTGCACCCCAAGAGGCAAGAAGAGGCCATTGGTGAAGGTGTAGCCTCAGTTTCAGTGGTGACCCCAGCTTTTTGGAGATGCCAGGACCATGGGACGACCACAAAGGACAGCAGTAAGTGTGGAATGGAGCTGGCCTGGGTCTTCAAGAGGAGCTGTGTATGGTGTGAATGGCTGAGTCAGAGAAGTGGAACTGCCAGAACCCTATGGAGCCCAGAAGATCGTGAGTGAATCCCAGACGTCCAGCCTCGAGCTACTTTGCTGGACTTTGGTTTTGCTTAGGTGTGCCTGATTCTTCCCTTTGAAATGAGACAGTACTTGTTTTGGATTTTACAGAATCCCACCCACAGTTAAGAGACTTAAAAGAGATTATGGACTTTTAAGTGTTTGGATTTTTTAAGGACTGTGAGGTTTTTAAGGTTGTACTGTCTTATGTTGTGATATTAATGTTAACATCATATCTTGGGGACAGAAATTGGAAAGTTATGGTTTAATAGTGATGTTTGTGTGTGAAGTTGACCAGGGGTCAATTGTGCTGGATAGCTTTAGCGTCAACTTAACACACCTGGGTTGAGGGAGCCTCAATTGGGGAATTGCCTCTATTGGACTGGTCTGTGGCCATGTCTGAGGGGCATCTTCTTGATGAGTGATGTGGGAGGGCACAGCCCACTGTGGGTAGTGCCACCCCTGGGCAGGTGGCCCTGTGTTGCATAAGGAAGCAGGCTGAGCAGGGGCCAGGGGAGCAAGCCAGTAAGCAGCGTTCCTCCATGGCCTGTGCTTGCTCCAGCTCCTGCCTCCAGGTTCCTGCCCTGAGTTCCTACCTTGGGCTCCCTGATGAACTGTGACCTGGGATATGTAAGCTAAATAAACCCTTTCCTCCCCAAGTTGGTATTGGTCAGTGTTTTGTCACAGCAATGGAGAAACTAAGACACACAATAAATGTAGATTCCTACAAATCAATAAGAAATTTCTAGCCAGGTGTGATGATTCACTCTTGTAATGTCAGAATTCAGGAGGCTGAGGCAGGAGGATTGCCACAAGTTTGAGACCATCCTGGCTAGAATGGAACCCTGTCTCAAAAGAAAACAAAACAAAATTCCACTCACATGTATATTTTATAGAGACAGGCAGATATATGCCTACAAATTATTTATGCACAGATGCATTTTTAATAGCAAAAACCTAAAAATAACCCACATGTCCATTGTCAGTAGAATAATTTGTGGCATAAACAGAAGAAGCAGTACTTCACAGCAATCAAAACTTATTAACTCTAACTGCAGAGATTTCTAGGTTGAATCTTAATGAACTGAGTTTGTCTCTACAGCACATAGCTGTCCCAAGGTTGTTTTTTTTTTTTTTTTTTTGGCTTGGAAATTCACACCTATTCTAAATAATTCATTAATAAAGCTTCAGTGGAGTAAATTTTCCCAGTGACTTGGTAGAGATTAAAGTATAAAGACTATGATCTTCAAGCAACCCCTTCAGTGGCCTCCTTGCTTTCTGCATTGAGATGGGGTCCTGTAAAGATTGATGCAGACGGCATGGGGGAAGGCCTTCATCAAGGGGTGGCAAGATAAGGGAAAGATCATTATGATTGTTCAAAAGCCTCTTAGTCCTTGTCTAAGTGTTATGGAGTTTTAGGGGTGAAAATCCATCTAAACACATTTCATTTATTTAACTTAGGGTTAGCTAGATTTTCTTCCTCTTCTGAGGCTGTTGGGTCTTTTGTACCACATCAGCTGCAAGGTTTACTGCCTCACTGCATTCCCCCACACCCATGTTTAACCACGTCTGGTCTCCCTGGGGCCATCTGCACAAAAACATGTGCTTCTTAGGTAATGGAAAATTTATTCTAACTGCTTATGTTAGATCAAGAAAGATCCACTCTCTCTTGCCCATGTTACTGACTTGTCTGCCTTGATCTGTTTTAGTTCAACTGAATGGTCATTCTGTGCCTTTTAGACCCCTATTTCTGATGACATGTCTTACATTCAAATATCCTACTTGGGGCCTAAGTATGGGTGTTATGACAGGTGAGGGGAAAGAGTCTGAACACTGTGCAAAGAGGAATAGGCCCCGCCATTGTGAAAAACACTTAGAGGCAGAGGCAATGGTTCCCATAAGGCCATATGGAGATGAAGAAAGGCTGTGGCCTTTCCTCCAGTTGCTCATTCTTCTCTAATCTCCTCAGGATCAGTGCTTTGAGTTTGGCTGGGAACCTGAGTACTGGGCTTGCTACTGGGGCCTCTGGAAATTGATTTTCTTTTTTTCCCTGGCTTTTTCCTGGGGAACTAATCTTATCTTTTATTCAGACTTGCAATGTGACTGAACAGTTTATGTAGTGCTGCAGTAACAGCTAAGATAAGTCTGGAGAAATATGGCCACAGATTTGATTGGACTTTGAATGGGCGGAGATTAGAAGAGACTATTTTTGTCACCAACCTTGGTGTCATTACCAATCTTTCTTCCTCTGTTTTGCTATAGTCCTTTCGCTAGACACATGAAAGTTTGGAAGAGGAGTAGATAGGACATTTAAACTCACATCATTGAGTTCCCAGTAGTTTTCTTCCATCAGTTTCTCATCTTCTGTTTCCACTGAGCTGAATGGTTGTGTTGGCCTTTTCCAGATACAACATGAAGGCCTGTTGATTATCAGGCAATGCCTTGAAAGGTCTCTCAGCTCTGCGAGGGAATTTTTGAACAACCGAGAGTGCTAGTATTTCTTCTACAGCTCAAGGATACAGATGGCACCAGAACCAACCTGGACAAATGTAAATGACAAAAGCGAATCAGAGACATGACCACAGGTGTGTGAAGACAAGACAGTTAGATTTATTTCCTCTTTTCTAATTTGAGAGGTTTCAAGTTGAAGAAAATGTGTTGGGGTTGCAAGAGAGCTAAACACAATCACCATGAAGCTGAGCTGTGTCCTCATGGTTTGGGCCTGCTGTGTTTGTCTTGCTGTACTCCTGGCAGCCCAGATGTTACTGGGTAAGTAAGATGCTTGAATGCTGGTATGGAAATGGAGATATGCTCAATGCTGAGAAAAGATCCAAAGGTAAGAGACATGGACTAACTTTAGCCTTCCAAAGAATCACTGTCCAGATGGGACAAGGACAGATATAGGACAGTCTGGTGTGCAGGATTGAAGGACTCTTTCTAAATATAAAAATCTTCAAGCCTTTTCCATCCTGAAAGTCCCTTCAGACTATGAAGGCTTCACTAGCTGCAAAAGATATCTATTACTTTTCCGATACAAGTTTCTTGAAAGAGTAGTGCTCGTTGCTTTCTCCACCTCCCCCCCATTCCCACCCCATCTTCAGTGCTTGCGGTGTGGCCTCCACTGGAGTCAGGTTTACATGGGGAGCAGTGGCTTCTGTATTTCCCGGGCTGTTGCACACTTCTCAGTTTTGATTCTGTTAGACGCCTTTGCTGTGCCCAGCATTACAGTCTGCTTATTCTTTCTTGCATTCTCTGCTTTCCTGGCTTCCATGGCATTTTTCCTGTGAGCCACATAGACTTCTTTTGGTCCCTTAGTAGCTTTTCTTCTTCTCCTTTCAAGTTCTATTCTGTCCAGTTTCATCCTTGTTGTCGCTATACTTCCTTTATGCAGTCTCCTTAATGGGGTTATTATCTGTATTTCTACTTCTTGAATTGCGTATTCAAGAGCCCCAAATAATATTTCCAGCTCTAAGCATGTTTTTTTACTTTTATATTAGAAGCTCAAGCTTTGTACAAGACATATCTACCTGTGTGTCTCACAGGTATCAATACAACATGACCAGAAATGAGTTCATCTGTCCTTCTGGTCCCTACTTGTTCCGATTAATTTTTCACTCTTTCTGATCTCAGTTAATGACACTAGCATCCACCTGGCCCTCTAGGCTAGTAATCCATGAAACTCTCAGAGTTCTTCCTTAACCATCATTCTCTATATATGATCCATCATCAATGTTGGCAAATTTTACTTCCTAAAGTGTTCTTAGAACCAGTTCCTTCTCTGAACCATTACTAATGTTTAGAGTAAGCCTGTACCATCTATGACTTAAGCTGTGCAGTGACTTCCTGACTAACCCCCTTGTCTCAGCCTTGTCTCCTTCAAATGAATTCTCACTCTGTATCCAGAATGACTTCCAAAATTCAAGCTCCTTTTCATGGCACATAAAACCCCAAATCTGGCACCTATTAAAGCTCTTCCGCTTCTACTGTCTAAGCCACTTCACTTATGTGCCGATAAAGCTCAGTTAGTTTATATTTACCTTCACAGTCCAGATCTTGATCTATCTCTAAGGCTTTGCTTACATTGTTAGCTCCAACTGAAATGAGCTCTTCTCTCGCTCCCCAGTCCCTCCCACTTTACAAACTTCTAGGTATCCTTAAAGACTTCGCTTTGGTGGCATCTTCCCTAAGAAACTATTGTTGAGCTATCCTTTGCCCCAGTGGCTGTTTCCTTTTCTAGTTACTAGTTTTATATCACTTTGAAAAAGTCACTTTTAGTTGCTCATGGTGGCAGATACCTGTCATCTCAGGACTGGGGAGGCTGAGGCATGAGGATTGATTCCCTCAAATTCAAGGTCAGCCTGGGCTACACTGCAAGTACCAGACTATCTAGGGAAATATTGCAAGACCCTGTTTAAAAAGCAAAAACAGCCTGGTATGCTGGTTCATGCCTTTAATCCCAGCATTTGGGAGGCAGAGGCAGGCAGATCTCTGTGAGTTTGAGGCCAGCTGGGTCTAGGGAGACCCTGTGTCAAAAAAGACCAAAAAAAAAAATAAATAAATTCAGTTTTTTTTTTTTTTTTGGTCTTTTTGAGACAGGGTCTCCCTGTAGCCCCAGCTGTCCTGGAACTCACTATGTAGACCAGGCTGGCCTTGAACTCACAGAGATCCGCCTGCCTCTACCTCCTGAGTGCTGGGATTAAAGGCGTGCACCACCACGCCCAGCCCCAAAATCATTTTTAATATATCTGAATTCAGTTTTCTCTGTTGTAAAGTGAGAATAATAATATCTAGCACAGAACCACAGTAAAGTTTATTGACCGGAAAGGCCAGCTAGCCTAACAAGGCTTTATTAACAAAATGAAAAAAGAGGGGGCTGAGTATAGTTACGTGAACAGTGAAGGAACTGAAACGAGGTAGCAGAAAAGTGAACAGGGCTGAGAAGATCTAAAGGAAGCACTTGGTACTGATATGACAGGGGAAGCGACCAAGTCAAAGAAGAGTCCTGGGCCACTGGGAGTGGATAAGAACAAAGGCACCTAGGACAGGAAAGAATGACGTGAACATATAAGCAAATATGAAAGGCAGTCACAGAGCTAGGAGAAATGGTGTTTACTTTGTCTGAGTCAGTCATGGAGGGAAGACATAGACTAAAGAGAAACCTCTAACCTGGAGGCAAAGAATTGTTTGTTTCACCTTTTCCAGTATAGCCTGACAGAAAAGGGTCACCAGTAGAGGGGAAATCAGCAAAAAGAACCTTGCCATGCTAGGGGAAACTTGAAGGCAGAGGGCATTAAGGTAAGATAATTGAAAAATGAAGACTTGGGGGGCTGGAGAGATGGCTCAGTGGTTAAGAGCACTGACTGTTCTTGCAGAGGACCTGGGTTTGGTTCCCAGCACCCACATGGTAGCTAACAACTGTTCATAATTCCAGTTCCAGGGGATTCAATACCCTCTTCTGACCTCCATGGATTGCATGACATGGATGCACTTACATACATGCAAGCAATACACTCATACACATAAAATAAAAAATAATAAAATTTTTTCAAAAAAGAAAAATGGAGACTTGGAAGGGGGAGCAAGGACAGAGGAGGCACACGGCTAGCTCTCTGGTAGATTACATGTTCTAGACTGAAGAACCAAGTGAAATTTGGGGAAATGAGACTATGGGGCAAGAGAATTCCCCAAGGAATGTCAGAGGACTGAAGTAGATTGTGTCTGTACAATGAAGTAAAGAGAACACCAGTTTTGAACTCACACTTGATTTTCTCCCTCCATTTTTTTACTCCTGTGGTGCTGCTGCTGTTGCTAGAGATCAAATGCAGGACCATATGTAGGCCAGGCAAATGTTCTACCCTCATCACCCACAGTCAGTGGAGTCTTTCTTTCTTTCCTTCTTTCTTTCTTTCTTTCTTTCTTTCTTTCTTTCTTTCTTTCTTTCTTTCTCTTTCTTTTCTTTCTTTCTCTCTTTCTCCCTCCCTCCTTCCCTCCCTCTGTTCCTTCCTCTCTCTTTTTTCTCCTCCCTCCCTTCTTTTTAAAAAGTATGTGTGCGTGTTTGTCTGTGTGCATATGTGTATATGGGTGCACATGCATGTGTGTGTAGGCCTCGGGTGTCATTCCTTAGGCACTGTCCACCCTTTTTTTGGTGACAGGGCCTCTCACTGGTATGGGGCTCACCAAGTAGGCTGGGGGGACTAGCCATCAAGCCCCAGGGATCCTCCTGTCTCTGCCTCACCAGTGCTGGAATTACAAGGGTATGTTTGATCCTCTTGATTGCAAGGAAAGTACTTTATGAATTAAGCCATTTTCTCAGCAGCAGTCTCCCCTCCCAGTATTTTTTACATTCTTTTTAAACTTTGGGAATGTTAATTTGCTTTTATAGAGCTAGTTCTTTAATATTTATAAAATGGGAAGCCAGGCTTGGTGGCTCCCACCTGTAATCTCAGCACTTAGGAAGCTGAAGAGGATTGCTATAAGTTCAATGTCATCCTGAGCTATATAGTGAATTCCAGGCCAACCTGGGCTACAGAGTGAGATACACCATGGCTCACAAAACATCATCTACAACAGTAACTATTAAATGATGATGAAGTCACATACCTGAAAGATTAATTAGCGTCTGGAAATGGCAGCAGTATGTGGCACACAGTAAGCACCCAGTGGATGCTAGACTCTGATGTCTGTCTTTCCCTCCTCTCCTCCTGCATGCTAATGTGTCATGCTTGTCTCTGTCCTCTGGGTTCCTGCACCAACAGTTGGAGGTCATGCTGGTGAGTTTATGGCTTATTTCCTAAGCCACAGTCCTTCCACAGAAAGCACCCAAACAGCAGTAAACCAAGGTCAACGCCATCCCTCTGAAGACCCATGGCAGGGGTGTCTCATAGAGAGAACAGTTTGGTATTTTCCTATTCTCACACTGAAAAGACTATTCCCTCGGGGGGTGCGGGGGGGGAATTCTCATAGAGGGCAATTTCCTATTCTCTTTCTCTAAGTTATATCATTATTTTCTGGTACTCCCCGGGCCATGCCTTTTCAGCTGCTGGTTTGGAGACTCTGCAGTGTAAAAGACCTGTCAGCACTGAACAGAGCAGCTGCCACACTGATGATGATGATGATCATGATGATGATGTGACCCACTCCAAGGAAACTGACTTCCAGGTCAAGGGCTACACTTTCAGTGAACCCTTCCATCTCATTGTGTCCTATGGTGAGGTTCTGGGAAAATCTGTCTGGTGTCTCAAACCACTCTATAGAGTCTCCCAGCCCACTCAGGAAACTTCCTTACAGGTAACCAGTCAAAAGTTGAGGTATCTACTTCCCCAGTTCCAGCTTCCAGGAGACAGAATGTCCTCAGTTCTAGGCCCTAGAGAAGTTGTTTCATACTCTACATTGGATCAATCATGAGGACAACAGGATTTGAGGAAACATGGTGAAAAATCCATAACTCGATTTCAACTTCAAGTCAAAGAATTGTTCCCCAGTTATCAGTGTACTTTGGGACTGGAGGGTAGAGGTAGAGGGAAGGACAGAGAAGGAAAGGGCTTTGCAGTTCTTAGGTAAATTCAAGGGGCAGAGAGCATTAAGGTAGGTCATTAAGAGTTGAGAGTGACCTGGAAAGCTTCAGGGTGTCTGTTTATAGACATTATCTTAAGGGCGCTCCCAAGGGAGACAGTAGACGACATTCAGCTCTTAATCTGGGCCATAGACTGGCTGATTCTCCAAGGTCCAGCTGCACCCATATTTGAAGGAGACCCGCTGCTTCTGCACTGCCGGGCCTGGCAAGACTGGCCACTGACTCAGGTTACCTTCTACCGAGATGGCTCAGCCCTGGGTCCTCCTGGACCTAAAAAGGAATTCTCCATCCCTGTGGTTCAAGAGTCAGATAGCGGGAACTACCACTGCAGTGGCATCTTCAGGAGTCCTGGTCCCGGGAGCCCCGAGACTGCAACTGCTGTGGTTATCACAGTCCAAGGTAAGAGCTCAAGAGAATTACTGTGGTAAATGTCGGTAAGTGGGAACAGGAGCCCAGAATTGTCTTTCTTTGGTATAGAGGTGGAAAGATCACTGAAGCCTTGAGGAGCAGGTTGCTGGAAAGCATCCATTTTGGATTTTAAGAGGGTCGGTGTCTCCTCGGGTCATTCAGCTCCACCCAGAGTCAGTGTTTTCTACTATCTGGATCTGTGCTTTCTGATATTCACAGATTGGCTGTCTGATTATTGTCATATTTGTTTATCTGTGGACCTTCTCTAGATCAGTCTACTTGAAGGAATGAAGGAAAGTAGGGAAGGAGGGAGAAAGAGAGGGCTTGAAAAGTTAAATGGAGCTTTCTAAGAGAGCCCACTCCTAATGGAATTAGAGGAAAGGATGGGTGTGGAAGTGATAGGTCTGCCTGAATACAGGATGGCTGAGCTCTTCTTCCTTGTCTGTCTTTTTCTCCAGAACTATTCCCAGACCCAATTCTCAAAGCCTTACCATCCAGCAAGCCCCAAAAGGGAGGCTCAGTGACCCTGAGCTGTCAGACAAAGTCGTCCCTGCAGAGGTCAGCTGCCCGTCTCCTCTTCTCCTTCTACAAGGATGGAAGAACACTGAGCAGCAGAGGAGTCTCTTCAGAGTTCCAGATCCCTAAAGTTTCAGAAGAACATTCTGGCTCCTACTTGTGTGAGGCAGCTACTGAAGACAGCCAAGTTTGGAAACAGAGCTCACAGCTGGAGATCAAGGTGCAGGGTGAGTTAATGTGAATGTGTCTGTGGGGCGTGTATGAAACAAGAGGGGAGTAGGAAGACTGGATCTGTCAGCTGAACTTGAGAGAAGAAGGTAAATAAGGGATATAGGAGAGTCAGAAACAATAATCCAAAGACCCTGATGATGTAAGAGAGCACAGATTGAGAACTTCTCCCTCTGACCACGGTCATACCAAACCAAGATGTGAGCCAGCTCCACATGTAATTTCCTGTAGAATTTAGGATACTCACAAAATCTGAACTGTTAAAATAATGTAATACCTAGAATGAAGATGACATGTAGGAAGAGCCAGCCATGGCTACATAGTGAGACCCTGTCTCAAAAAAAAAAAAAAGTCTAGAGGGGCTGAAGAGATGGCTCAGTGGTTAAGAGCACTGACTGCTCTTGCAGAAGACCTGGGTTCAATTCCCAGAACACATATGGCAGTTAACAACCATCTGTAACTCTAGTTCCAGGGAATCCAACACCCTTTTCTGACCTCTGCAGGCACTGCATGACATGGACACACTTACATACATACAGTATGTGTACTCATATGAATAAAATAAAAATAATAAATAAAATATTTAAAAAATATAGAGTGGGTGTGATGGCACATACCTTTAATCCCAGCACTCAGGAGGCAGAAGCAGGGGGATCTCTATGAGATCAAGCCCAGCCTGGTCTATGTTCTGAGTTCCAGACCAACTGGGGCTATAAGGAGACCATGTCTCAAAAAAAATCAAAGAAAAAGAAATCTAGAAAGAGTGTAATCTATGTCAAACTTTGGGAATTACCATGAAGAGGTCTATATTTGTCCTGAGACACATCCAAAAGTAGTCGCTTAGGGTGGTGAGGAAATTTGAAGACATGCCAAATGAAAAATAACAGACAGAATAGTGACACTCATTGTGAGGAAGAAGTGGCTTGAGGACCAGCACAGATGAAGGCTGAGACAAAGATGGGGAATTAGACTAATGTCACATACAATAAAGAGTTGATCCCAGACTACACTTCTAGAAATTACATTCTACTGTTGGAAGAGGAGACATGGTTGTCTAATGATGAGGCTTCTTCACTAAAGATTTTCAATCACAGATAGCCAAGCTTCAGATTAAATTTTGTATTAAGAGGGACACCAGAGTCCTCAAGTCCCTGCTGCCACTAGAGCACCACAAACACTTTAAGGAAAGATTGATACTATAACTGAACATCTTGTTGAGTTCATTGCTGAAATAAGCATAGCCAAAGGCATACAAGAGTGGAGAAAGATTTATTATCTGCATCAAGCAAAGAAAGCATGGGAGTCATTTTCAAAGTGGTGCCCTCCTCAAATTAAAGAAGCAAGGGGAAGCCTACACATATTTACTCACATAAGGGTTGGCCAATTGTTTAATGTGCTCGGTTTAGGAGTGGATTCCTGAGCATGCTCAGTTTAAGCTTACGAGGCAAGAAGATAGTAGACACATTTCGGGGCATTCTTAGCTCAACTGGAGCATGTTTGAAACATTAAAGTGATAGACAAGAACACCTTTAGGCATGTTCAGTTTGCATTCTAGAGTCTTAGCTGAAAATAAAGGTATACTTTGAAGGTATATTAATATAGGTGTTTGCCCCTGAAGATTCTTGCCTCACTTTGTGACTAACCATAAGAGAGTAGGGCCAGAGTCAGAGTTCACCTTAAAAAAATATTTGTTTGAACTTAGGGTTTGGGACTGGAGAGATGGCTCAGTGGTTAAGAGCACTGACTGCTCTTGTAGAGTACCTGGGTTTGATTCCCAGCACCCACATGGTAGCTAACAGCCATCTGTAACTCTAGTTTCAAGGGATCCAATGCCTTCTTCTGACCTCCACGGGCATTGCATGACCTGGGTACACTTACACACATGCAGGCAATACACTCATACACATAAAATAAAAATAATAAGTAAAATATTTTAAACATGGGGTTTTGCTTTGTATCCCTGGCTGTCCTATAGCTCACTATGTAGACCAGGGTGCCCTCGAACTTGTAGATCTTTCTGCTTCAGTCTCCCCAGTGCTGGGATTACAGGCATGTACCACCATGCCCAGCCAGATTTCACTTGCATGTGCTTCCTGCCCATAATCCAGGTCCCTCCAGTTCTGCTGCAGCCTCCACCTTGAATCCAGCTCTTCAAAAATCAACTGCTTCAGAAACTCCTCCTATGGAGCCCCCTGGGCCTCTGCCTCCACTGCCCACCCCTTCTTCTGAGGACTCAGGCTTCTTTTCCCCAGAGCCCTACCTACAGCACCAGATGCACATTCTTCTCAAACAAATGCAAGATGTAAGAGTTCTCCTTGGTCACCTGGTCATAGAGTTGAGAGACTTGTCAGCCCACCTGAAGTCTGGGACAGTCAAGGTCGCTGATAAATGAAAGCAAGATTGTCACCTGTGATATGCTTAGCTGCCACAGTCACTCCAGTTCTTTCTATGTTGTACATATGCATGAAGTTTTATATGTTGTCCCAGTGCTATGTTAGAATAATGGAGATAAGTGTAAATAAACTTGTACAAGCTCATAGCAAAAACTTGGCTATAACTGTATTTCTTTTAACATGACAGGGTAATTCTGCTGTCTAGACCAGGAATTTCTCTCTGCTGTCTAGAATATAATCTGGTGGTTTAAAGAGAAGCAATGGAGGTGGATATAACACTGCAACTTGGGGCAATTTCTCTTCCCCATGTTCCCATGAGAAGCATTTAGCAATATTCCCTAGATATTTTGGTACTCAAATAGGAGGAGGGGGAAGTGTATGCTAGTGGAATTTAGTAAGTCAAAGCATTTATAAGCCAAGGATGCTACTAACCTTCCTATAACACAATGGGCAACCCTTTCCTCCAATGAAAGATTTTCTGCCCCCAAATTTCAGTAGTGCTAAAGTTGAGTAACCTGAGCTAAAGAAACTTTTAAACTGGTTCAAGACTTGTCTCTTTTAGATACTCTCTTCTCTCAACCTCCTTCAGCAACTATTAATTATACACTAGGGTTTAATTGGTACTATGGTCTAAATGTTATCTGCCCTTTCCCGCCAAATTCCCATGTTGAGGGGCTGGAGAGATGGCTCAGCAATTAAGAGCACTGGCTGCTCTTGTAGAGGACCCAGTTCCGTTCCCAGCATCCACATGGTGGCTAACAACAGTCCATAACTCCAGTTCCAGGGAATCCGATATTCTCTTCTGACCTCTGTGGACACTGCAGGACACAGGTGCACTTTCATACATGCAGGCAATACACTCATACAAATGAAAAACAACAAGAAATAAAATATATTTTTAAATTTCTATGCTGAAATCTTCTGATAAAAATTTTTATTTATGAGTGTGTGTGTGTGTGTGTGTGTGTGTGCATGCGCCAGCATCCAGAGGTGAAAAAAGGGCTTCAAACATCTTGTAGTTACAGACACTTATGAGCTGCCCAGTGTGAGTGCTTGGAATTAAACTCAGCTCTCTTAACAAGTGAGCCATCTCTCCAGCCCTCTCACAGTGAAATCTTTTTTATTTTTATTTTTTGAGATAGGGTCTCCCTGTAGCCCTAGCTAGCTTAGAACTCGATATATTGATCAGGTTGGCCTCATCTTACAGAGATTCACCTGTCTCTGCTTCCTGAGTGCTGGAATTAAAGGCATATGCAACCACACCTCGATTCATGTTGAAATCTTAATCTCTAAGGTAATGGATTGAGGGAGTGAAGACTTTGGGAGATGAGTAGGCCATGAGGGCAAAGTTCATATGGTTAGAATTAGTTACTGTATATAAGAAGCCCTAAAAGCTAGTGAATTAGTTACTTTTTAACCACTATGACTAAAATACCTGGCAGAAAAACTTAAGGGAGGAAATGTTCATTTTACCTCACAGTTTCAGAGGGTTGTTGTCCATCATGACAGGAAAGCATAGCAGCACAACTCAATCCAAGGTGGCAAGAGTGTGTGGCAGAAGCTTGTTCACGTCTTGATAGACAAGGAAGCAGAGATCATAGCCAGAACTACAGGTAGGTAGTTAACTATGGGTGGTTAAAGGTCTGACCCTAGTAACTTACTTCTGCCAACCAGGCTCAACCTCTGAAGGTTCCAAAGTCTTCAAAATATCAGCACAATCCAGGAATCAAGCATTCAAAATATGAACCTGTGGGGTCAGGCCCTAACACTCCGTTGCTGGCCCCAAAGCTTATGGCCATCACATAGCACAAAGTGCATTCAGTTCAGCTTCAAAAGTTCCCATAGTTTTAATGGTCTCAACACTGTTCCAAAGTCTTTTTTTTTTTTTCGGTCTTTTTGAGACAGGGTCTCCCTGTAGTCCCAGATAACCTGGAACTTGCTATGTAGACCAGGCTGGCCTTGAACACACAGAAATCCACCTGCCTCTGCCTCTGAGTACTGGAACTAAAGGCGTGCGCCAACACGCCCAGTTCAAAGTCTTTTTTTTTTAATGTGTCTGAGTGTTACGCCTGCATATGTGTAAGTGCACCTGTGTTGAGCAATGCCCACAGAAGACAGAAGTGGGTGTCGGCTCTCCTGGAACTGGAGTTGTGGACAGTTGTTAGCTGCCATGTAAGTGCTCGGATTAGAACCCAGGTCCTCTGTGAGAGCAGCTCATGCTCTTAACCGCTGAGCCATCTCTCCAGTCCCAAGTTCCAAAGTCTTTTAAAGTCAAGGCAAACACTCAGCTGTGAGTCCCTGAAAAATTACATAGTTCCAATATACAATAGCACAGAGCAAATATTCTGATTCCAAAAGGAGAGATGGGGCATAGCAAAGAAAGACTGGACCAAAGAATAACTGAAACTAAGCAGAACAAATGCTACAAATGCTAATCTTAAGGTTCCATGTCCAGCATTCAGGGCATGTGTTGGCAGGGTGTGAACCCCAGTGGGCTTGGGCAGTCCTGCCCAATGGTTCTGCTGCCTGCAACACAAATTGGCTCTCTCTTCAGCCTATTCCGTTGGATGCTGCAGCTGTCCTTGGCAGATGTCCCACATTTCTAGTATCTCCAACACCCTGAGGTCTCCATTACAACCTGGGCTTCACCCTCACAGCTGTACACATAACCTGCTCAGGCACTGTCTGCAGGGAATCTGACTATGGTATATATTACCTTGCTTCACAGGCTTCTAGTTGGAAACTTGGTGCAAGCCACTATTAGCCTCATACCTATTGAATTCTTCATTCCTGAAAACCAGTGCCATGTGGCTAGCACAGCTGCCAGCTTGAATATTAATCACTTTCCTTTTACCACGGCTGCAGTGGGTGACTTACACATAAAAATAATAAACAAAATATTAAAAAAACCCACATACATAGCAATCCAGCAGATTGCCTAGGAGCATCTTTCTTTTGAGGCTCTTTTTCTTCAGGTACTCTCTTTGCAAATGAACTTGCAGTTTCATACCCTGGGACCTTTGGTGGGAGAACTTTCTCCCTTACTTTACCTCTTCTACTATCTCAGTACAAATTGCATGGCTTTTCTTGACAGTGCTAATATCTTTAATAATTATATCTGCTTAATCTACACTTACTTTGCTGCAACTTTAATCACATTCACATTCCCTTTCTCATCAAATTGCATATTTTTTCAAATCTCTCTACTCCTGTTTTTTTTTTTTCTCACAACGTCACTGGAAACATCAAAAGCAGGCAGCAATAACCATATCACCACCTAGTTGCTATATTGTCTTGAAATTAATTAGTCTATTACTTTTTAATTCAGCCTTACTCAAATTCTCAGGACACAGGTAAAACAGACAAATTCTTCACCAGAATGTAACAAATGGTCTTTAGTCCAATTCCCAATATAATCCTTGTTCCTCTTTACTGTCCACATTGTTATCAGTATTCTAGTCTTCCAAGCTCACCAGAATGGCCCACTATGCTCTGAAATAGCCTTCTGGGGCTTTTCTAGCCCCATTCCTCCTGAACCTCTGATCCAAAAGCTTAAGAATCACATGGTTAATGTTATCATAGCAATGGCCCCACTCCTGGTACCAATTTTCTGTGTTGGATACTTTTGTGTCACTGTGACTAAAGTATTTGACAAAAGCAATTTAAGGGATGGGAGATTTATTTTTGTTCAAGTTTCAGAATGTTGCAGTCCATCATGACAAGGAATGTACAGAGGTTGCTCAGTCTGTGGTAGTGGGAGTGTGTGACAGATGTTTGGTAACATTCTGATGGATCAAGAAGCAGAGACCGTTTCCAGAAATGGGGGCAAGTATGACTTTCTAAGTCCTTCCCTAGTGTGTTCTTTAACCAGCCAGGCCTGACCTCCTAAAGACTCCACAACCTTCAAAATACTGCCACAAGCTGAAGACTGAGCATTCAAAACATGAGCTTGTGGAAGACACTTCAGGTTTAAACAATAACAGCTAGCTTGCTCTTGTGTCATGTGATAGCACAGCTAGCTCTCTATTAATTAGAAAGTGAGGCTTCACTAGACCTTGAATCTATTTGCTTTTCTTAATCTTAGATTGTCCAACCTCTAGAACTATCATAATAAATTTATGGTGCTTATAAGCTACTCAGTTTCTGGTATTTTTTTTTATATAGCAGCTCCAACAGACTAAAGCAATTAGCATCTGCCATATGCCTGAATTTGTGCTATATTACAAATGCTCAAGAATTGTTAATAGTGGTGCATACCTGTAATCCCAGCATTGGAGAGACTCTTGAGTTCAAGGATAAGCTGGTGAGATTCTGTCTCAAACAAACAAAAAAATAAACAACAACAACAAAAACAAAAACCACATCAAGACAGTGTCTCTGTTAATGTATGGCTTGGACTTTGTGGTGGAGGGATGCTAATGCTTAATATTTGTGAATCTATTTTTATACCATTTAATTACATTGTTATATGCTTGGACTACTATTGTCCATTTTTGAACTATGAGAGCTAGCATGAAAACCTCTACCATAACTTTAGTAAATATAATCTTTTGTTGATGAGTTAGCATACTGTGTTACCATGGCCTCAGACAATGAATACTCAACCGTGTCATCCTGAATTATAACATTCAGTTTCCACTGTGGTCTCTCTTTGTTCTCTTTATTTTGTATGCTTTTAGCCTGAAATAATTTTAAAAAGATGAACACATGATCATTCTAGATATATGACAAAGAAACAAAGGAATAGAATCATGCTGATCATAAAATAAATTTTATGGTGGTGACTTGCATCTTCAAGGGTGCAATAATTAATCTTCTTTTGTTTGGTTGACTGACTTTGGTTTTTGAGACAGGATCTCTCTGTAGCCCCAACTGGCCTTGCACTCTCTATATAGACCAAAGTGGCCTCAATCTCACTGAGATCCACCTACCTCTGCCTCCCAAGTACCGGGATTAGTGTGTACTACTATGCCCAGCTGGTAATGGGTACTCTTGCTTGTCAACTTGATTGATTCTGGAATCGACTAAGAAATAGACTTCTGAGTGGATCTGTGAGGGTATTTCCAGGAAGGATTAACTGAGGGAAGAAGACTCTCCCCCAGAGGTGGG